CCAGAATATCGAATGGGTCCGTCTCTCCTTCGGCATCAGTACTAGAGGGCACAATGCCTACAAAAGTAGTGGGGCTGGTCGAGTCGGTCACGGTGGTAGTCGAAGAAGAAATGACCGGAGCACTTGAGCCGCTGCTGCCGATCTCCTCCACAAAGCACTTGATTTGATGTTCTGGCTTAGTGACAGCAGTATAAGTTTGTCTTCGGACTGTCGACTTTTTCGACAACTTCCGGCGAACTGAGCATGGGCGGCAAGAGAAAGTAGATTGCGGTGGAACGGCGTAGGAAGTCACGAGCTTAGGTGTTTGAACCTGATGAATATTAGAGTTAGATGCAACCAAGAGAACAGAAGAGAAGTAGAAAACATACATTGTAAATGTTCACAGCCTCACCATCTACAGCAACTGCGACTTCATAGCGCTTGCGTTTTTTCGCATCGGCGAGACTGAAGACATCGCCGATACGGGTTTTGCCAGTAGAAGCGTGAAGGGGGCGAGGCAATTGCGCCAGGACAGATGGGGATTGCAAATCCATGACGAACTGAATACCAGGAATCAAAAATGGCTTGAGTTCCTGTCCCTTCAAAGCGTGTAATCTTTTTGATGCAGACCCATTCAATTTGGAAATCTGAAAAATTTTCGGGATTACGTCGGGCCGACATATCCACCCCCTAGGCCATATCAGGGCTAGCGTTGGTCTGTGAAGCAGTTAGCGTGACATAAGCAATTAACGCGCCTTTCGCGTCGGGACGTGTTTGAAGCTATGGAGATCGGCCTTGACTTGATTCTTGCTTCATGCAATCGCTCCACACTTACCACCAATATTCTGTCATTTCAATGCTATATCTGAGATACTGTTTGCTCCCTGGTCTCTCCTCGGGGATCAACTGATTGTCCATCACATGAGCATCTTATCCAATTTACCGATGGCTATGGGCACTGACGAACAGCAAGTCATACATCCCTTCTTCCGAAAAGGTTAGAATGTGTCCCATAGCCGCAGGTGAATACGAGCTTACAATGTCTAGAATTTGGTACCTCGGTCAAATCTACACCCTCAAATGAGCCAATCTCGTCCGCGAATACCCATGTACGTGAGCTTCGACCGATAAGCAGCCAGAGCTCTACGCATGAGCAGGGGGTCCACGCCCCGGATAATCACGATTCAAATGTCTTCAAAGCAAACAGTGAGAATTCTGTGGGTCTCGACGAAGACCTAAATGAGGATCGGAGGAAGAGGCAAAGGACGGACAAAAACCAAACCACCGAACCCACTGCTACTTCCACTGCAGTTCTCTCAGAATGGCTCATTCACAGCGCGGTCAATAATACGCCTCGATCAACCGATTATCCTCTCGAGACCGAAGTCAATTTGTCTATACCTCACCCCGAGGCTCCGCTGGCGGAGAGTCAACTTCCTGCAGATCAAACCCAGCTATTGACATCTGTTGAGAACGAGAAACCAGAGGGTCCAGTTGCAAGAACCTCTGCAAGACAAAAAACCCTTAAATTGAATTCAAAGGGAGGGTTCCTGTCCTCACCCGCTTCCAGTCCTCCCCGAGAGACAAAAAAGAGAGCAACAGGGAAACGGGGGAGGCCGCGAAAGGCTGAGCACAAGGTGGTGACGATCAAGTATAGCGTTGCCACAGATAAGAATCTGGGGAAGTTGATCGACAATATCCTAAATGGCCAAGTGGTTCAAAAACTCCCTGCCACTCTACCCTCTGCTCAGCCGCGCAAGACGAAAAGCCAACCCCGAAAGCCCACGCACCCGTTTTTCAGCAAAAAGTCAGCACAGAAACCCGGGCCCGCGAGTTTGAATGGATCGCAATCGGACAATCCAGATGCTAGCGCGAGCGTGCCCTCAAGTCAGACCACAGCTGGGGCCCCGGACAAGAAGCGGATAGTACCAGCTTCGGGCGGTTCATTTACTAGCTTCCCCCGTCGTGTCTCTAAGTTTCTCGAACTGCTTGATCCCCTTTGGCCACCGCAAGATCTCGTCCACGTCAGAGACGTTCGCCCACCCCCAGATGTTAATAATCGTGTCTGGAATATTACTCAGGACCGAAAAAAATCGAAAGTCGCAGCTATCTCAATTAGAGACGAAGAAAATGTTCTTTTAACTGGAACAGCTGAAGCAAGGAGGATCGCCCGCCTGTCCAAACAGGACTATGATGCTCTAGCTATCCTTCGGCATCCCGTGCGACATGTTGCCAGCAGTCAAGTCTTGCATACGGCAATGGAAAGACAGATGTCGTGGTCCTCACCAAACCGCCAATTTCCTTGGAATTATTCTAGTCCTCCCCTTGCCAGACTTCGCTCGGCCTTACTCACGTCAGTTTCAGCTTTTGATTGCGCAACCTACGAACCGCAGCTTTGGACACACAAGTACGCCCCTCAGTCGGCTGAAGACGTCCTTCAGCTTGGCCGTGAACCACAGATGCTTCGAGACTGGCTACGGCACCTCAAGATCACAGCAGTGGACACCGGAAAATCATCGAAGGAGAATGCGAAATTGAAATCAAAGCGGGAGAAAAGGGCGAAAAAGCGCCTGAAAGCCGACAAACTCGACGGTTTTGTTGTATCAAGCGAAGAGGAGGCCTCCGAGATGGACAATCTCTCTGGCTCAGACGATGAATTAGCGGGCGCCGTGACTACAACACCTCAACGGACGGTTGTCAGGTCGGGTGACATGGCATCTGCTTTACATGGAGTAGAAAGAAAGAGTCCAATGACCAATGCGATTCTTCTTAGCGGCCCGGCTGGCTCCGGAAAGACTGCCTCTGTCTATGCCGTTGCAAAAGAGCTTGATTTCGAAGTCTTCGAGATAAACGCTGGAAGCCGAAGAAGTGCCCGAGATATGCTGGAGCGAGTCGGAGATATGACACAAAATCACCTTGTGCATCTCCTAAACGAATCCGAAAATACAACAGACAACGACAAGGATTCTGCCAAGCAAAACAAGCTGAAGAGCTTCTTCAAAGGCCAATCGTCAAAAGCTAGCAAGCCGGGTTCCCAGTCTGGCCAACCTAGCCCTAAGCCTGGAACTGCGCCTAAACGCCCCCGGGAACAAAAGCAGTCTTTGATCCTGCTCGAGGAAGCCGATATTCTTTTTGACGAAGATCGACAATTCTGGACTGGTGTCTTGACCCTCATTAGCCAATCTAAACGGCCAATTGTCATCACTTGCAACAATGAGAGTTTAATCCCTACCCAGGACATGTCTCTTCATGCCATACTGCGATACCACAAGCCTGCTCAAGACTTCGGCGTTGATTACTTGCTTTTGGTTGCCGCCAACGAGGGACACATGTTAAAGAGAGAAGCCGTCACCAGACTTTATCAAGGATCCGGAATGGATCTTCGGAAATCATTGCTGGATCTCAACTTCTGGTGTCAGATGGGGGTTGGTAGCGAGAAAGCGGGCCTGGATTGGCTGCTTCCTAGTTGGCCACCAGGGTCAAACGTTGACCATGATGGGGACCGTCTTCGGGTTTTAAGCCTCAACACCTACGAGCGATATATGGGCTGGTTCAATCGTGATATTAATGTGACCCAAGGCTCGTTGGATGAAGAGACGGAAATAATCCGCAACAGCTTTCAATCGTGGGGTCTTGGCCTGCAAGATTCAGAAGACATGGCTGGGAAGAATGCAGTTGAACTTCAGCCCCCTGATCAACTCCACTCTCTTCCCAAGACAGCGCAACTTGATATGCTGTGCCGGGAAGCGGATTACTATGACATGAGAAGTTCTCTCGACATCCTCTGCTCCAATCTTTCTACGGATGCGAGCAATGTAAGTGTGATCAATTCCTCTACAAAAACAAGAGCTAATAATTGAACAGGATGTTGTTGATATATCCGCCCCACCGCTGCCAGAAGGTTATCGATCCAACTATCTTGACAATTACCCACTACTGCATACAGAACTGCGAACAGAGTATTCATCACTGAGTGAAACTGTCAGCGCTACCTTTGATGCGTTAATAAGCAGAATTTTCCGTCCCACAACCAGCCAGGACTTGGAATCTTTATACGCAAACCGAGCCTTGAGCAAAGTCATCATCTCTGCAATGCCCTCGCAAACCCCTCCATCCACCCTCCCTCAATTCCAGCGCATCTTTGAACCCATTATGCGTGCGAACTACTCAAACCCCACACCAACCGCCCGCCACGCCCCTTCGTTCGAGAATGGAGTCGCACCAATCACGGAAGACTTGGCCCCGTACATCCGCAGCATTATGGCCTTCGATGGCCGCCTCCAGCAATATCGCGAGAGGCTGTTTGCGCTCACGGCGCAGGAGCACGGGGGCGGCGAGAAGCGTTCACGCACGACACGTGCTAGTCGCGCGGCTCTCGAGGGAGGCGACAAAGCCTCAACGCGCAAGGAGAGGTGGTTCGCTCTCGACACGCCTTATTACAAAGTGCAAGGCACCGCAGGGCCAGAGTGGCAGCATGTCTTGTTCCAGATGGGGTATTTCCATGTGCAACCCATGGTCGAGCCATCCCCCGAGCGCAGTGACCTTGTCTTGGACGACCGGGTCATGGAAAATGCCGAGTGATTGGTCTCGTGTCTCATGCACAATCCAATGTATTATTTATGAAAACGATCTCAATGATATAGCTACCTGTTTCAAAATCCACGCCTGTACTACTTATTATTTACTTTACTATTTATACCAGTCTGCGCTTTTGAACAAAGACATTTGTGCCCATAGTTCGAATCTGGTGGATAGTGCGCACAAAGTGGGAAAAGAAATAACGATTCGCTATTGTGCTATGGCTCAGATCGCTCGAAACTCATAAAGAAACATTGAAGAGGATAAGAACCTCGGAAACCAGCCTAGAAGAAGAAGAAGAACATTTGAAGTCTGAAATCGAAGAAACCGTCCCGACCAGCAGGAACCTAACGATAGTCAGCATCCGAAACCAAATTTCTTTTTGATATCAAATATCAAAACATCCAAACTTACAAGAAGAAACATATCAAAACCCGCACTGACTAGACAACAGTCCTAGTAGCCACAGGCTTCGGCGCCTCAGGACTCGGGATTGGAGCAAGGTGATAGGGTCCATAATCCTCCTTAAAATCAAAGAGCGAGTCGTCGGAGTCGCGCCGCGAGTTGGGAGCATTGGCACGCCCATTCGATGGTGGTGCTCCCTCAGTGCCGAATCGCTGTGTCGCGTAGCGAGCATAGAAACCCGACTTGCGTTTGCGATCTTCTAGATCCTCACGGTTCTCGAACTGTATGCGCCTGCGGCGGAGAATTATCAGGACGATCATGGCGGTTAGGAAAATACTGAGATGTAGTTAGTTCTGCCATGGTTGGGTGGTTCGTTGTTGAGTGTTGGATATGTCTAAGTGTCGCGAAAGGGCGGTGATGGAGGCGGTAATACTCACACCCCTGATATGGCGGCGGGAATGCCGACCGTGATTGCTGAGCTGGTGGGCTTTGTGCAGCTGGACATGGTTTCGTCGCCATTGCAATCGCGGCGGAAAACGGTAAGGAGTGTGGGGAGCATGGTGTATGTCCGTTATGGTCAACGGTTTAAAGGAGTGTATTTGATGAGAACTGGGAATAAAGGAGTGAAGGGGTTCTCAGATCAGAAAGAAGAGGATACAAGGGAGTGTGTGTGGAAGAAATCACCGAATAAGTCAATAATTGAATACCAAGAGAATGTCTCAGGGAGAAAAATAGAAAAAAACGGCACAGACGAGCTATGTTCCGGACTGCGTATCGCCTCTTATGACCTTCCTTCGATGTGCGGAGTTCCCTGTTGAGAATTGAAGATGTTGATTCGTCCCGATGCACAGATGAAAAGGGGGTGGCTTATGTCGTTTTCTGGTTAAAATATGGGGTTACATTCCTTATTCTATGTTTCAACTGATTTCTCTAATGTTAATAATAGCTACTATAAGATGTATGCAATTATATAGAAGATATAGAAGATCCGTGGAGTTTCTCCAGTGATCTTCCTTGATATTAGCACATTCAGGGATTTGTCAGTTCCACTATTGTGTGATTGGCCTTGGAACACTTTATTGGGTCGGATTTCAATCTTGATATGGAATAGCTAATTGTTTTTGCTTCATTATCTAGGGAATTAACTATTCTGTACTCCGTACAATCCTCCAGGGGCTATTCACATACGTTGCCACCTGAGAAATAAGGCAACATAGCACCTCAGGCATCAATATATTCTCTATTGCATGTATGTACAAGATTCTCATTTATCAACAGGCTTAGCAGCATCAAGCTTAGCCAAGATCTCACTCTTAGGAACCTCATCACTCCACCTCTTGCGCGGTTGCTCAAAAGTCGACCCAATCCGACCATAAGATATGCCGCCAAGTTGACCAACCGGCCGCAACTTCTCCAAGTCAATATGACTATAATCTTCGTTGGCAGTGCCCTCTTTGACCCAGAACCGGGTAGCCTTGATGAGAACAGTAGCAGCTAGACTCATCCCAGGCTGTTGGTGATCTGTGAACTCCTTGATATCAATCACCTTGCCTTCGATGTTGAACACCGACTCGGCGACGCGGGACGGCTTCACCGTACTTGATGGTGCCTCATGCAAACCAGATACATCCCACTCCGACACGCCGTACGGAGCGTCGATGGAGGTCGCGTTCACTGCCTCGATCATGTTCTCCGATACTGTGTTGATCACACACTCCCCGGTTTCTCGGAGGTTACGGTAGGTGTCTTTGACCCGACCGGGTCGAGACGAGAATCCCACAATGAACATTGGGGGATCGTGATCGATCACTTGGAAGTAGCTGAATGGGGAGAGGTTTTTTTCGCCCTTAGAATTGACGGTACTTAGGAATCCCACTGGTCGAGGCGCAATCCCCGAAACAAGGAGGCGGTAGTTGTTGATCATCGGACGATCTGAGGCGTAGGGGTCGATTTCATGATGTTTTTGCGCCAGGCTAGCTCCATTGTCGGGTACTCCTTGCCCATACTCCCAGTTGGGATTGGGGGATTTTGTTACTTCGATGGGCTTAGAATGATTAAAGTCTGGGCGTTCGGCTTGGATCTGGTCGAAATTGCCACTGTCTTGGACGACTTGGTAGTTTTTTTGTGCCGCAGCGGTTTCAGCTTCTGATGCTGCGGCCGTTGCAGAAGAGCTCATTCTTAGTTGGTTCAATGAATGAGACCCAATACGAGGTGCAGAGATAGGAGTGAATTTCCAAGTCCTGGGTTTAAGTTAGACACTAGCCGGGTTGCGAAAAAGGTTTGACATACTGGTTGGATATAAAGCGACCAATTGCCCTTGTATGAGCCATCTTGGATCAAATAATCTATTTGGTAGATTGACAAGATTTAATGAGATTGTGATGCTCGTCTTAAACTATTTGATATCTCTTTTCAGATACCGAAAAAAGCCGGGTGCATCTGCCGAGAATCGGGATCTCGCTCCGATATCTTCATGATAAGGTCTCAACAGAGGGGTCGACCTCAACCTCGACCTCGATCACGACCACAATTGCTTCTTCATATTCAATCATGCTCAGCCGAAACGCACGCGCTGCTCTTAGCAGAACTCGACTACTGTCGGATCATCTGGTCCGAAGCTCTACTCCTCGAATTCGAACTATATCGTCTAGTGCGGTGAAGCACACTATGGTAACCAGCGTGCAGACGAACGAGGCATATGCACGTAAGTTTCCGGACTAAAATCCCTATTATTCTGTGACTAATTGTCTGTTTAGCTTTTGCGCATTATGTATGTACGACCCAGAACGAAAGAGAATAGATCGTCTAACAAGCTCGCAGTCACAAGCGATTAGAGCCGCAGGTCAAGTCTGGCTATCCGGTCAGATACCCGCAGACGCGCAGGGGAATTTGATTAAAGGAACAATGACCGAGCAAACTAAAGCTATAATCAAGAATACCGAAGCTATCTTGAAGGCATCGGGCACTGGGTTAGACAAAGTCGTCAAAGTAGTGGTGAGTGTTGAGACACACAATTTCCAGTATTCATTCGATGAATTAATATCCTGGCAGGTATACGTAAAAGATGTCAATGTGATGCCAGAATTCGCATCTGTTTATGACCCTGCATTCCCGCATCGCCCTGCACGGTCTATGGTTGAAGTGTCTAAACTACCCGCTGGAGTGGATATTCAGGTGGATTTTATTGCTGTAGTTTAGATAGATTAGGATTGGATAGGACTAGAATAGAATCGCTAATTATAGACCAATAGACAAATTTAACCCCAAGAAATGCCACTTTTTAGGGCTAGGCCGCTTATGTTGCCGATTACGTCGTCGGCCGGCGTTTTGACAAGACGCCGAATCTAGCGGCAGGAGGGTCCGAATTTTTTATCGCTCGTGCCGAATAAAAGCAACTCGGCTTAGATTGTCTATTAATAAAAATCAACCTAGCTTCGTTGTCTCCCCAAATTCAATCCACTTTGTGCAATGGCACTGCGTTGGACCTCCCGAGCGGCCTTTCGGCTTCCTACCAGGCTGAGACGTGCCCCTGGGCATGTTGTTGCCCTTCCAGCTATTTCATCTAAACTTTCCAAATCTGGTCACAGCCAAGTGAGAAGTTCGTTGTTGCAGATTCGCAATTTTAGCAGTTCTTTGCGCAAGTATGATGCTAAGGTTGTCGTGCGAGTCCCGCAAATGGCAGAGTCCATTACGGAGGGAACCCTCAGCCAGTTTTCGAAGAAAGTCGGGGATTTTATCGAAGCGGATGAAGAGCTAGCCACGATTGAAACCGATAAAATCGATGTCTCTGTGAATGCCCCGCTGGCGGGAATCATCCAGCGGCTTTTCGTTGCCGAGGGAGATGTCGTCAACGTTGATCAAGAAATTGCAGAGATCCAGGCTGGAGGGAAACAGTCTACAACTCAAAATGAAAAGGAAATCTCAAAGCCTTCGGAAAAAATTGCCGATTTATCGCCAAAATCGCAAGATAAAACTGCAAGCCACACTTCGTTGCCCGTGCTAGAAAAACCAACGTCCAAGCCCCCTGGGCCAAATCCTGATGTAGCACCTCGCGAGGAGCCTCTTACAAAGACAGAAAAGCCTGCCCCAAATACTTCATCGGTTGCACAGTCCAACACATCTTGGGGATTTAGACCCAGCCGCGCAGAAGAGAAGGCAAGTCTACATTGTTCCTTCTGGGCGATATACATCAAGTCCAAACCTACAATTACACTGTCAGCTAATATGAGATAACCATTATTTAGGTCAAGATGACTCGAATTAGAAAGCGCACTTCAGAACGCCTCAAAGAATCGCAGAATACCGCCGCCTTCCTGACCACCTTTAACGAAGTCGACATGTCCCGGCTAATAGAACTCCGAAAGAATAACAAAGATGCCATCATGGAAAAGCATGGCGTTAAACTCGGATTTATGGGCTTCATGGCTCGAGCATCTGCGTTGGCTCTGAAAGAGATCCCCGCCGTAAATGCATCTATCGAAAACGATGATACCATCGTGTATCGGGACTACGTTGATCTTAGCATTGCCGCATCTATCCCGAAGGGGCTTGTCACGCCCGTAGTGCGAAATATTGAATCCATGGGGATCTTGCAGATCGAGAAAGCGATTGGAGAGATGGTGAAGAAGGTCAGTATTTTGTTTTGTAATTGGAGGGAGCACCCACTAATATATGGGTTCAATCCAGGCTCGGGATGGCAAGCTGACTATGGATGATATGACGGGCGGAAGCTTCACAATCAGCAACAGTGGAGTCTGGGGATCGCTCTTTGGAACCCCCATTATCAATCTACCACAGACAGCCGTGTTGGGGACTTACGGTACTATGGATAGACCCATCGCAGTCAATGGTCAAGTCGAGATCCGTCCTGTAAGTGTGTTCCATTGAGGTGTCTTTGTTCTTTAATTCTAATATAGGTCTTTTACTAGATGATGTACGTTGCTCTGACTTATGATCACCGGATCATTGATGGACGGGAAGCAGTCAAGTTCTTGGTTCTGGTTAAGAAGTACTTGGAGAGCCCGGAGTCTATGATGCTTGAGCTATAGGTTTGGTAATATCCGATCTAGCAGAAGGCCGGGGAAAAAGAAAAAGATTAGGAATATTAGGAAGATATAAGAAGGTTAACAACGATTTTCTGACTATGGTCGAAACCCTGTTAAAAAATAATGCGTTCACCAATATAGTATACTAGGTACAAGGGTCGATTTTCTGCCGGTTATCAAAAATTGTAGTTGGTTAAAGGGAGACGCGGTCAGAAACTTATATCGGCATCGCAATAAAAATTAAATGTTCATTCTCTTTTGTAAATGCACGAAGAAGAAAGAAAACCCATTGAGTTTAAGCGTGGCATGTCGGAACCCTTGTCCGATGTTGTGCGGTTATTTGACGGTTATATGGCAAAACAGAATTTCGCCGAAGCCCCTCATAATTCAGAGAGAAATTGTATATTGGAATTTTCAGAGTTTCACATTGAATTTTTAACTGTTTGCTCATCTTTCCCACTCCTAGAAATCCTGCTTTGTTCGCTCTGGCCCCCTTTCGTACCGTCTCGATGTATAGGAAAGAGTACAAGACCTCTATTCTTTGATTTTCATTATGTACCTTCTGAGATCTTCTTCAAAACGGGGTGCTGGCCGCCTACATTCAGGATGTCAGAGGCAGGCAATTGGAAGTCACCGCTTGAGGCCGTACTGGCAAATTTATACACAAAACCGTCACGTATGATTGCCTTGATCTGACTCGATTTGAAACATCATACCTAGTGCAAACTGATAAATTTATTACAGTTCCACCTAGACAGCTTTCTGCAAGGAAATTCCGCAGATTATATGGATGACATGTATGCAGAATGGCGGAAGGACCCTGATTCAGTTGATGTCTCATGGAAAACATATTTTGAGGCAATAGAAGCCGGGAAACAACCCCCTAAACATTTACTTCAACCTCCCCAGCATTTATCGTTTGAATGGGGTCCGGGGTCCTCGCCAATGCTTCCAGGCCTGAATATTGCTACCAAAATACCGCCCATTCTTTCATCAGCAGGTGACGATCAAGCCAGGATACAACGGCTCGTTCGAGCATTCCAAGACTTTGGTCACCAGGTAGCAAAGACAAACCCGTTGGATCTACCAGATAAAGCACTGTCCCCACCAGAATTGCAGCTGGATTTCTACGGCTTCACTGAGAAGGACTTGGACCGAGAGTTTGAACTTGGACCCCAAGTTCTTCCTTCCTTGAAATCCGCAACCCACCAATACATGACTCTTCGCGATATCCTCCAGGTATGCGAATCCGTTTATTGTGGCTCGATTGGAACTGAATATTCGCATGTCGCAACTAGTGAGGAGCGCGAGTGGATTCGCGAGCGAATTGAATCCCCCGAACCATATAAGTTCCCAGCAGAAGAAAAAAGGAGAATACTTGACCGGCTGGTGTGGTCTACGAATTTCGAGAAATTCCTCGCTGCCAAATTCCCGAACGCAAAGCGGTTTGGGCTGGAGGGTGTCGAGAGTCAGCTTCCAGCAGTGAAGGCAGTGATCGATGCCTCCGCAGAGCATGGTGTGCGTAATATCATATTCCCATGCTGTCACCGTGGGAAATTGAATATTTTGAGCAATGTCACAAGGAAACCGAATGAATTGATCTTCAACGAATTCTTGGGCGAATTGAAATCTCGACATGGTATTCCAGGCGATGTGAAGTACCACCTGGGAATGAACTACGAGCGTGAGACACCTTCCGGAAAGAAGGTCAATATTTCTATTCTCCCAAATCCGTCCCATTTGGAAGCCCAGAATCCGGTTGCCCAGGGTATGGCCCGAGCTGTGCAGCAACAGAATAAAGAAGACCGAGCATCAACTATGGTCTTTAACAGTCACACCGATGCTGCATTTTCTGGGCAGGGAGTTATCTACGAAACCTTGGGACTATCTGGGTTGAAGTCATATGAGACTGGTGGAACAATCCATTTGATCGTCAACAACCAAGTCGGATTCACCACGGACCCGGAGTCCGCAAGAACATCGTCCAATGTATCCGACATCGCAAAGAGCATCAGCGCACTTGTTTTCCACGTCAATGCAGATGATGTTGAAGCTGTTGTGTTTGTGTGCAAGCTCGCAACAGATTACCGTGCCAAATTTGCAAAGGACTGTTTCGTGGATATGATATGTTATCGGAAGAATGGACACAATGAGATGGATCAGCCGTCCTTTACCCAACCGTTGATGTATCAGCAAATTGCAAACAAGGTCACTCAATTGGAGCTTTACACTGTCAAGCTAGTACAACAAGGGGTAGTTTCTCGTGAAGAAGTCACGCAGATGGAAGAAGAGGTGTGGACTAAACTAAGTGAGAGCCTCGCAAATAGCAAGAACTCGCAGACCATCGCACGCGAATATCTCACAGCACCATGGCAAGACATGAAAAAGCCAGATGAAGTGTCTCGGGAAGTCTATCCAGCCAAATCAACATCCATCACCCAGGATCTCATCAATACAGTTGCAAGTAAGATGGGCGTTCCAGAGCAACCATTTAGCGTGCACAAAAGCTTGCACAAAATTCTCCAAAAGCGACAGAACAGTCTAACAGACGGAAAGGAAATTGACTGGGCTACAGCAGAGGCGCTGGCGATGGGAAGCCTGTGTCTTGAAGGTCATCATGTGCGGATTTCAGGTCAAGATGTCGAGCGCGGCACATTCTCCCAGCGACACGCAGTGCTCCACGACCAAAGTAGCGGGTCAAAATTTACTCCTCTTGATTCACTGAGCCCCAGCCAAGCTCGCTTCACTGCCGGAAATTCTTCTTTGAGCGAATACGGCGTCATGGGATTCGACTACGGATACTCTTGCATGCACCCTAATGCATTGGTGATGTGGGAGGCACAATTTGGTGACTTTGCAAACAATGCCCAATGCATAATTGATCAGTTCATTTCGTCCGCCGAGTCAAAATGGCTATTAAGATCTGGAATTGTGTTGTCTCTACCCCACGGGTTTGATGGACAAGGATCTGAGCATTCCTCGGCTCGTATGGAACGGTTCCTACAGTTGTGTAATGAGGACGCTCGCTTCTTCCCATCACCGGAGAAGTTAAACAGACAGCATCAAGATGCCAATATGCAAGTTGTCTACATGACCACTCCTGCAAATATGTTCCACGTGCTCAGAAGACAGCTACACCGTGAGTTCAGAAAGCGTAAGTCCTTGCCCTATCAAAAATTTGAGAACTACTGCTTACCAGAATACCTGCCCAGCGCTGATCATGTTCTTCTCGAAATCTCTTCTTCGAAACCCGATGGCAAAATCCAACATTGAAGATTTCATCGGAGAGTCAAAGTTCCAGCCTCTGATCCCAGACCCAGCCCATGGAAAATCCATTTCCAACCCTTCTGATATCAAACGAGTGATATACTGCACGGGACAAGTCTACATGGCACTAGCAAATTATCGAGAGACCCACGGAATTACGGATACAGCCATAACCCGTATTGAACAGCTTCATCCATTCCCTTGGGAACAGGTAAAAGAGAATCTCGAGCAGTACCCGAGCGCCTCGGATGTCGTATGGTGTCAAGAGGAATCCCTCAATGACGGCCCATGGGCATTCGCTCGAAGTCGACTTGAGACTATCTTTGATACAACGGAGCAACATAAGGGCCGTCGAGTACGCTTTGCGGGGCGCGAAGCAACGGCTAGTGTGGCTACAGGGTTTGTCAAGGAACATCATGCGCAAGAAGCTGCTTTGCTGAAGGATGCTTTCCAATCTGGTTGAGTGGGATCTAGTGCAATTTAATCACTTCAATATGATAGACAATGAATTTGAAGTGATCTAAGTGATTTTCCGCTCTTATTTTAGTATTATTCTTATGTCCTTCTTTTATTCATTCGATGGAAGGGGGTTTATGCGTTGGCCCATTCTGAGAAATTAACCTTAGTATTGAATCTCCCATATAGAAAGTCTGCTTGTTCTGCAATTTTGAACTTCATTAATTGTCATAAAAATTCGTATAACTAGTTTACTTAGATAGTTTCAAGATATCAAACCCCAACAGATTGCATGATCCCCTCCATATCCAATTGATCTGCAAGATCCAATAATTCTCGCGGGGGAAGACTGACGGATGAATTGAGTCCCAGTAGATCCCACTCAAACTCCTCGTGATCGAAGGAATAAGATTCTTCATTAATTTCATGACCTTCATCCAGATTGACCTGCGGCAAATGGTGATTCGCTAATTTCGGCGTCAAAGGTGCGAGTATTTGCTCCAATTGTCTGAGTTCAAGCCTGCGAAGTGGTGCAGCTAGATTACCCTTTGAAATAAGCTTATCGAGCACTAATGTCAGGTTCTCGCACCAAGTATCATTCGAGATCACCGATGGGGCAATTGCACGGATCAGGTAGAGGACAAATGCAGAGGATGATGCGTCTTCGACTTGGAATGGTAAGAATGCGTCTGTAGGTCGAAATCAGTATTATGGCTCTTGAAACACAGGTTTAGATCGTACCCATCAAGTCATCATCGGCTAAAGTACGAAGGGTCTGGAGGATAGTCTGGGCGGAATCGGCGCAGCATTGCAACAGGGATGCAACAGGCGGCGATAAACCGATCGTTTGAGATTTTTGTCTCTCTGTATGATCAATATGCATGTGAAGTGCGCACATCACTAGTGGTCTTGTTGTAAGTACGACGCACTGCTACTGTTAGTTCATGGCAAGATCAGTAGTTCGGAGGGAACCTACATGATGATGAGCTAGCATCAATCGAATGGCCATTTTTGAAGCACGACTAATTAACCCGTGGAAATGAGTATTTAGAAAGGCAGTCAGGTCGTATGAAAGCTCGGCAATGCTGTGAAGAATGGACTGTGTACTTCGAATGAGCGTGTCATCGAAATCGTTTCCAACCCCATAGACAGCTAGGTTTTGTTAGCATTCCATCCATCGTCAATCAACCAAAAGACTCACTTGTCAAAATAGTGGCCATAAGCCGGGAAAGCCGAACATGCAATGTCAAATTGATTTGTTCCACTGAATCATCCATTTCTGCTGGCAATTTCACTGTGATATCCTCATCCCTAATCGAGCTCGGAGCACCAATTAATGCAGAGAACTCTCGGTCCAACATATAAACCACCCAGAAGATTGTTCTGCATCGTTTAGAGAGCTCCGGTCCACATATCTCCTCAGGTACATGCCTGTGTATTCCTTCGATGATACAGCCTCTCAGAGCCTGCCCGATCTGTTCACAGAATTAGATAATTTAGTATCAGTGAGACATGAATAAACCCACATGTTGAAAGGCCGCTCTTCTCATATCTATTGACTGAAGATACACCGCCCCTAGGCTGAGTGCTTGGATACAGCCCAAGGGGTCTTCGTCAACTCCAGATAAATCAGGTAACAGAGCCATCGCCCGCGATGCATATTGATGGCTAGGCGGTGTCCCAGAATGATTCCTCTGTGTCAAGAACGCCTTTCCAAAGGCAAGAACAAGTAAGTATTGACAGTACCAAGGTCTATTGGAAGCAGCTTTCGCTGATGGGTCCCGGTAGAATTCATGCAGGTCCTGCAAATAAGCAGGTTCGTCAATCATAAAAGAAAGAAACCCAAAATAAAACTTGACTGTGTTAAATAAGAAGAGTGCATAGTCCAGGGGTGGCAGATTAGTGACATCGGGTACTTCATCTGGAGGATATGGTCGCCAGGTCAACTTAAAAGCCACACCATCGATGTGGAATGGATCTGGCGGACAGTTTGATTCGGGCACTTTTCTTCCTATCAAAGCAAGAACACGACGACAAAACGACCACGATGAGGTCGGCCCCATGTACCCTTACATACCCAAGTCAGTATTGAGCTGGTGCGAGACGATAGACTAAACACTCACAAAATCGGCCATCTGGTGTCTGGGCAAAAGATGGATCCCGATCAACCAAAGGATTCCGGGAGAATCTTGATCGGTGATGGTCTTGTTCGGTGCCACTGTCGGTCTCATGCTCTCTCTGAGGGGTCCCTGGGGTATGCAGGGGCGGGCCCATCCCTGGAAACAAGCCACGATCAACAAGCCAAACACAAATTCAGGGAATGGTTATACCATACCAATTGACATTGAACGCCATCCAATATCTGGCTGGTTGTCTAACAGTGTGCTAGATGCTTGGGGGGTCGGGGGAATATCAACGTTATCATCGCCCGTAAACAGTGTACCTCCAAGAGGACTATGATCAAGAGGTGCCCGGGGCGCATGTCGCCGCAAGCTTCCACTTCTGGATATTTGCTCCTCTAACTCTCGCAAGTACCTATTATGGTTTAGCGCGTACTTGTGCAGCCAGTTTTGGAGCTAATTACCGTTCCGATACGGAGACCCGGACCTCTTCCACCGGAAAGTGGCAGTGCTTCTTTTTCCGCGCACATCTCGTGCAAGGGCTGACCCCCGAGCATTTAACCTTCATCGACCGACATCGCTCACAGCTTTTTTTATAATGTAAGTTGGGAACTCTACTGTTTGACCCAGTTGGTTAAGATGACTCACGCCCTCTGGCATTTTTTTGTTCTTGCCTGGCTGGGTGTTGCAGGCATATCGGATTGAGACGCCGGAATGATGTATAGAACAATTGTAAAGATAGTCTGTGCTTCCGGGGCTACTCTCCGATATCAATTGTTGCAGACTGCGGGGTAGAGATGAGAGCAGGTACGGAGTACAATCAGTCGGAATGTCCCTCCGACTTTTCTTATCGGAGATAACAGCGCATCCATGGATCGTCTATCACGATCCATCACATGATTGGTGAGACCCTAACGGGATTGACTTTGCCTTGATCTATCTGGCTTCGTGCATGAACTGTGCATATCTACTAGGTTTCAATGATCTGATTGGATATGTTGTGTATTGGGTATCTAGTCACTAAAATATCACCGGGACTCAACCGACCACCCTTCTCCACAATTCACGACGCAATGCGGTCACCATGTGTTGTGTTCGTTCCACTGCCCCGCGATTCTCGATTGCTCGGCGGTGTAGATATCCCATGCACTCGGTAACCGAGCCCCAAGTCATGCACTTGAAAGCTTTTGGTACGGTCAAGTTAGCAGCAGATGATTGTTCGAGAGCACGTTCGTAGTTTTGCACAAGTTCACAACTGAGCTCGTCGGCCATGCCTTGGATCTGTCCACATTCCAGCATAACTGTAGGTTGATTGGCAAGAAGCCTATTCTGGTGTGTGGCAATTGCTTTGGTTGCACTAGCGGCGTTGTGAGTGGCGAGGAAAAGAGCGGCCTTGGGGAATGGGAGGTCATTCTTCCCGGCAGGCATTCTTTGGCAAAGCAAGGTATCTGCGATGAGATCGTAGGACCGATCTGTATCTGCCTGAGTATCATGGATGAGAGAGCGTGTCTCATGCTCAATATACGCCCCTCGAACCAACTTGATACCCAGAGACCAGCCCTCTTGTGCAGCCAAGGTAAGATGGTGGTCAAGGTTCGCCTTTGATCCCTTGAGATAACCCTGAATAGTGTTGTAAACAATTGGTGTTTCAGATTTGTTGTGTTTGCGCATCATTTCAATGGCCCAATCATCAAGGCCATGTTGCAAGACTTGCTGCTCTGCATCCAACCAGAGACGTGAGCCCTGCTTTTCTGTGGCAATGCAAATCTCATCCACAGCTTTGACAATAGCCTCTGGCATACTCTGGCGTGCTGCCATTGCGTCCACTGAAACAGGACCAGCACCTGTCAATCTAGCAAAAGAATGTTAGATTTCATATGACAAGAATCCAGAGCTTCATACTTACTTCACGGCAAGGAAGTCACCTGGCCCAACCATACGCAGTGTCTCCAATGTTCCCTCCTTCCACTCCTCAATCATCTGGTAGCACTTGTCGCTGTATTGTGATGTGCCAGAATTATCCGTCGAAAGTCTTTCGTCCTGATCCAGCACTATCTCTTTGGAATACCCCAAGATGACTCCCTGGTATCCTATCTTCTTAATGTCTGCCACAGTTTTGGAAACTTCCTTTCTGTTCACTCCAGCACAGAAGTGATTGTAAACCGTCCAACGAAGGAACTTGTTCAAGGGGAGGTTCCGATCTGGGTTCAATAGTGGGGATTTTGATGTCGCGAGCACGCCCATCACGGCGAGAGCAGGTCGTAAGAATAACTTGGATGTCATCAAGGAAGTCAAAAATAAAGACCGCAGTAGTAGTCTCGTCGGGATTCGGGCCATAGATGAGACCTCGACGGGCTGTTTGATTGCCGGCATGGTGGCGGCGTCATGAAAGTGAGATTTTGTCGAATGAAGTCGACAAACCAAGGTTGGTGAGATTTGGACTGAGAAACCATGAGGGGGTCTCATAGTAGTAGAACGAGGTAACATCTTGGCTTGAGTCAAGAACGCAAGTAGATGAGTTTAAAGCCGCACTTGCGTTTTACAAGAGTTCAAGATTGCAATACCATTCATTCGTCTCAGGTCGCTACTACTATATACTATTTGAAGCAAGCCCTTATCCTAGTCTCTGTGTGACTTTATCAGACCGCTACTACTCACCCAACTATCCGGCCACCGATAGTCAGCCGGTCTTCCATCGGAGCCGTCCTCCGACGCAGGGAGGGGTTGCAGACCAGGAATCCTGTCCCGCGATGCCAACTCATCGTTGCCTCCGCGGGGTTTGTGCTATCATTGAATGATCTAGCAAGGAAACCCCGTACGTTATCATTGCTCAACGGCGCACCGGCCCGGTTCGAGGTTGTACTGTTAATTTTCATTACGTTTCATA